CAACGCTTTTTGATATCTTGGATGTCATAAGAATAAAAAAATTAATAGAACATTATGCGTGGTCGTTGACAAATCCAGCGCAAAGCTACACATCATCTAAGCTGCTTGTCTATCTTTAACCGCAAGTTACGTATTCAAACAAGAATATCCGTCATTTCATTTCACCGTTTTAGTATCGACTGCCAGTCCTCGTCGTAGTGTAGATTGCAAGATAAACGTTTTGTTGTCTAAGATAGCAAGTACTGACATTTGCCAGCAGAGCACATTTCGTGCATTTCTAAAGTGGTTTTATCGTTTCATGTTGCGCTGTATGCACGTCAACAAAACTAATTCTGATGCTGAATAACGCCAAAAATATTTTCGTACCATTATTCAGCCTAAACTTTCTCGTATATCTGCAGCTACATTTTCTTTTTGCATACATAAATATCAAAAAGCAATCAGTTTCACAAGATGACAGTAACAGTGTGTCCACGCCGAAACGTAAAGAAATGCACTTATAATCAAAACTTTACATGAATAGCACGACTTCTCAATAGAATTCCAAAATTACCTCGTATCAACCAGATCGATAGTCTTAATTGTTCGCATGTACCGACCAACTCTGTCGTGCGATATCAAACGCCCATATTCGAACACACAATCTCAGCAACACGGCTTGGTATTTTCCATACTCGGTGCGACTTTGGAAGATTTAACACGATATTTGCTACTATAGCATCGAAACACCTCTACAACTTATCAAATTGAAGACGTATCGGGCATATCATTCAACGGAAAGGGTTGATGATTCAAGATATTTCGATGGAAGGTTATCAAAAGAATTCGTGGCGCGAGCTCGAGCGATTTACCAGTCGAGGCATTTCAATAATTAAACATGAGTAACAACTGAGATTGTCGATCGAGGTGATGCTCCAACATCAGCGGTGCTTTTTGAAGCTTATAAAGGAGTTACAATCAAGTGTACATATTTAAGATATGAGCAGCTAGCTACACATGTCTTGGGGTCATCGATTGTATTACACATTATTGATTCACTGCAGTCTTCTGATGTATTTCACTATCCCACATGTCGACAAGCAATCTTTTCATTTCCTATATTTTGAGTCAAAAGGCTGGCAACAAGTATTAGTAACTTTGACCTTCATCTTTCGCGACTGTTTCTTGATTTGTCAGTCACAACTGTTGAGCGACTTAATCAGTCCACTCGAGCCTAGCTACGATGTCACCAACACTATTGATTACGCTAAAAAGTTCTCATCGTACTCAAGTATACTCGTTTAGAGCTTATCATATATAGAAAAAGAAATGAGCACTGATACGATGGAGTCACTCTACTCTGATGCCCTTAAGTTCGCATCTCTGTATCTCCATAACCGGCACATATTTATTGACAACACTCGCATCAAATAAATACAACGGTGTCGCAAGGGTAGACACTTGGATATTGGCCAAAGTGACTAATTTTTCCTTTTAACTCAAAATCGTAATCGTGCACTTTATCGTGATAGCATCACTATTCGCTATCTGATCCACTATCAGTCGATTCCTTTCGACTTCTTCTGCTGGATCGGCGTTGCAGCGACGGCGAGCGTGAAGTAGACGGCGAACGATGGCGTGATACGGACGAAGAAAGGGATGGCGAATGCCAAGTGCGGCGACTTCTACAAATGACACAGCAACGTAATTAAGTAGATGATTGCAGCGACAGATTTTTATACCACATACCGGATCTCCCTTCTTGAGCTTCTTTGTCTTCGCTCAGACCGTCGATTGTGCACTCTGAAAGGCAATCGAGATGATGAGTATAACGCAGGGTAAAACTGATCTAATGACATAACTATACCACTTACCGATATCTGTCACGCCGCTTTACCGAAGGAGAACGAGAAATTTGACGTCTCGAATGCTCACGAGAAGAGTAACGTGAGCGTTTGCTGGACCTAGGCGAGCGTCGTCGAGGACTCAAAGAGCGTCTAGGTTGTCTCGAAGAACGTCGATGATACTTAGACGACCGTCTACGTGAACTAGGAGAACGTCTGCGAAGACCAAGCGAGTATTTACGTGGACTTGAAGAGCGTTTGAGTGGACTTGGTGAGCATCGACGTCTGTGTGAGTTCTGCAAACTTTTCGGTTGGATTTCTTCACTCATTGATCGACTTGGACTGTGAATAACTTTTGGAGGATTTCGTGGACGTCGTTGGAAGCTCCTGGATCGTCTCCTCCCACGATCCCGCAAACTTGGTCGATCCGTCGTGTCCTCTTTTGGTCCTCTACTCTCATTCTCGTGTCCTTTTCGTTTCGCGTCAAGCACCTTTTTAAGATTATCTTTCTCCTTTGCAATACTCTGCAGTTCCATCTTTTTCTTGTCCAAGATGATAGTGGGAATTCCCGTAGGGTTGCCCTGGGCACTAAGCAATAGTTGCCACAATTCCTCCGTAAAAGGACCCGCTTGCTTTTCTAAAAAGCCGGTTAGAGTCATTTGCAACTGCTTTGGATCCAACTTTACGTCGACTTTCGGTTCTAGAAGATTAATGGCCATAGATACCACAATATCGTCCTCAAAACCTAGCAAATGGGTGATCCGCTCAGTGATCCATTGATTGATAACCTCACGCTGTACCTTGCGCATGTCCACGTGCTGCTCAAAACACTCAGGAAATGACATTTTGGCCAACAGCTTCTTCTCTTGCGCAAAGTAGCGTCCATCCTGGTTTGCGCTAGTGCCCCGAATTCCCATCCTACCTGCTGGGATTTATAAGTTATATTAACGAAAAATTCTTACAAATTAGATGTATTGAGTGCCTTTATAGAAATAAATTTAGCAACGTTGGAGAGTAAAACGAGGTCTTTGCTATTGCTCAATAATTACTGGTTCATACTCATCATGGCTTGATTATAATCACCATTGGATCTCGATACAATTTCGACTTCAAGTCGAGTAAGCAAGCACATTGTGTACAAATCCTACTGACGCAGGCGCGATAATGCATACGAGAGACACACTGAGATGAAACACGACCAACTTGGTGGTATAATTTATATTGAACTTGAGCTTGATGGCAAGTTTGGAGCTTAAGACCCTAGCGGCTCAGTCGTCCCGTCCGTAATTTCTTAAGGTTGTGTAGTAAGCTGTATGAAGAACTCGCAAAGTCCAGTAGACCTTCCTAGAAAAGATAATCATGACGTATTGCAATTAACAAGTGAATATACCAGAACTCAGTCGGTTTTGTGCATGGCGCACGAAGGAATTTGCTAGTAGTTGAACAGTCTGCAATAGATCCCTCACTAAATCACAAGCTGTTCGCGAAAGTGTAATAAAAGGTAGTCTTGCAAGGCTATTGATGCAGTCGAGTTATCTTGAAGCCTAGAGCTAACTAAGGCATGCTTCGGCATGGTTGTCATATCAAGCGTAATTAATTTCCTGCCTTTGGTCTCGGTCACAATCATCGTGTCATTCCGAATGATCGTACAGTAAAGTTAATCACTTAATCGATTGCTGACGATAGAGCAGATGACAACAGCGCATTTTTAGGCTACGCAGCTATGATATTGCGCTATAATTAATAGAAACCTTAAGTACTTATATCATTATATATACATCATCTGCCGTCACTGTTAGATCTCATAGTTTTAACTCACTTTGAGTTAACGCAGGCCGTGATCTTTGATATTCGACCACTTTGCCTTCTAGATGAGTGGTGGCTATTTTTATTACTGTACTATTCATTTTATGATGGTATAATGTACGGTATACCACAAATGATTTTTGAGAGGTATAAAAAAATACTTATTTAGTTGATCATTTGTTACTCTAAATAAATATGAATATTGAAATCTATAAATTTTTAAAGCCAAAGTCCTGTCCGAAAGAAGAGACGCGCCAATTTTGTAGCTTTTACGAGAGACTTATCCATCAAGAATCTTCCAAACTTGATCAAAAATCTGTGATGCGTGCATGCAACCCTTAAATGCACTATTTAGATATGGATTCTTCATTCTCTCCCACAAAAAACCGATTTGGACATGTTTTTTTACACAAATTCTATTTTTTGTCAGGAATTAATCTTTACAAAACAGGCCAAATGGGTTGTCTTCAACCCGAATGGAATCTTGACCCGTCCTAACGCCGTATCCATGAAGTTCCTCATTTGCAATCTTGAGCGCAATGCCTCAAGTGAACGAGTTCACACCTCTATTAGTCGAAAGCAGACAACAAAATCCACCTCTCTTCCAACGTCGCGCGTTGCAGTATGTGCTCGTATGCGTGCTTAGTTTCGGCGTCTTGTGCTTCCTTCTGCAGCGATCGGCTATCGTCGACGTTGACAACGTGACCGTCTCATTCAATGAGACCTCGCCCTCGACCTCGGATAACGCTGACGAGGTAGCGTTTTGGTCCAGTATTGACGCTTTTAAAGATCCTACAGTCGACCCTTGTGTGGATTTTTACCAATATGCATGCAGTGGATGGCTCAAGACTCACGATATTCCAGTCGATCGTCCTATCATCGATTCATCCTTCGACGTGATATCCGAGCGCAACAAAGAGACACTTCAAAACATCTTTGATCAGAATCCACCGCAAATTGGACCCTTGTACCATTCATGTCTTAGTGGTCCCGAAGTGGACACTGACGCGGTTCACTATGTAGCCTCATTCATTGATAAGATCCACCTTGCCAATTCAACGCTAGAATTGATGACAATAGCGGGTGAAGTGGATCAATCGCTTGGGATCAGTACATTCTTTAGTCTTTCGGTCAGTGCTGACCCAAAAGACCCAGATACTAACGTCCTCCAACTTTCTCAAGGGGGACTCACACTTCCATCGCGAGAGTATTATCTCGAGCCAGACAAAGTGGGTGCGTACGCGAGACTCTTTGTAGACTACGTCACCAAAGTTTTTGCAATTAATGACCTTAACGAACACAATGCAAGTGAGTTTGCCAACTCTGTGCTGGAGACTGAGACGATATTTGCCAAGATCTCACTGCCCGCTGCAGCATTGAGAAATCCGTTGACTACCAGTACAGCGTATCCATTTCCTGACATTGCAACGCGATATCCATTTCTAATGGCATATCTTAACGGAATTTACAAGCTTGAGCCTTTTCCGATGATCCATGCGATCATTGCGACGCCTAGTTTCTTTGATGCACAGAACAAAGTGTTGCAAGATGAATCGAGGCTATCACAGCTTAAATACTACGTGAGTTTCCATCTCATTGACTCATTAGGGGCACTGTTAGGTGAGTACTTCCGTCGTGCAAGTCATGATTTTCATGGAGCTATCCAAGGCGCCAAGACTCTTCTTCCTCGTAACCAGTTTTGTGAACGATTGACTACGAATTACCTGGGAGATGAAGTCGGAAAATACTACATGCAACAAGTGTTTGGACCTGATACAAAAGCGGCAGCACAAGCTTTATTGACAGAGATTGAAGAGTCATTGAAAGCTTTGCTACTTACGGAATCGTGGCTGGATAAAATTACATACGAAGCCGCGGTAGACAAGTTAAAGAATGTCAAAAACTACATCGGTGGACCAGACAGTGTAGAGCCGCTTCCATTTCAGCTGAAACCTGACGCATTCTTCGACAATATGAAAAAAATTTTGCAGCAAAGTGCAGCTGAGACTATTCAGTCGATTAATAAGCCCGTGGACAAGCAAGCGTGGGATATGTTTCCATCCACAGTGAATGCGTACTACGATCCGAGCGCGAACAAGATGGTTTTCCCAGCAGCGATCCTGCAGCCTCCCTTTTACAGTGCAGAACACTTTCCAGCGGCAGCAAACTTTGCTAGGATTGGCATGGTCATGGGTCATGAGCTTTCACACGGATTTGACGACCAAGGACGCAACTTCGATGCCAATGGGACGCTTCGCTCGTGGTGGACACCATCGGTTTCTAACGAGTTTGCAGCGAAGGCTCAGTGCTTGGTAGCGCAGTATTCGTCGTTTCCTGTGGTGTCGAGTCAGGACGGCCGTGTGCTTGGAAATGTCAACGGAAACTTGACGCTTGGTGAAAACATTGCTGACAATGGAGGGATTCGTCTTGCTTTTGAAGCGTATCATCTATGGAAAAGTACAGTCGCTGCTCCTCCAGTCGTGCCACCTAGCACGACGCCAATTCCTTCCGAAGAACCAGCGAGAACTGATCCTGTCAAACCATCGCCTCAAGCGCTACCTCCTGTACCTGAAATCAAGATGCCACAACCGACTCCCAGTAAAGTCAATCCAGTGCCTGTAACTTCGCAACCTGCTGAGCTCAAACCATCAAACGGCGAGCCGGAGAAAAAGACTACGAAAGAAAATTCGCCCACGCCAGTTCCAAAGCAACAGCCTGCTACGCCAGAGATAAATCCTGCTGCAGCGGTTCCAGCCGTGACTTCTTCACCCAAAAACCCTTCCGTCCCACCTGTCCCATCTGATAAGCCGGATTCCTCTCAGCCTCCCATCCCAACGCCACTGCCACAAGCTGGTCAAGACCGAATGCCTGCAACAACCGAGACAAATCCTCCTTCATTGATCCCGCCAACGACTTCGCCAACGACCAAAAGTCCAGATACACCACGGCCGGTTTCTTCACCTGTCATCGTGCCTTCGATACCACCTGCCAACTTCCCGTCTCCAAATTCTGTTCCAGAAGAAATACCTGCTTCATCCAAGCCAGGTACTCCAGCTGGTGTTCCGATTGTGCCACCTCTATCAACCGATACCCCTAGCTCTCCACCCGTCGTGCCTCATCTTCCTGACACTCCTCCAGGGGGACCAAACGCCTCGCAACAACCCGTACCTGCACCACCACTTGTTCCGGACATACCACCACCACCCGTTCAGAAGTCACCTTCTGCGGTCGCGCCCCCGCCACAGCCTATTCCTGAGACGAAACCTTCCACTGAAATCCCATCAGTACTGCCTCCACCGACTGCTCCTTCTAGCCCTCCACCCATTGTGTCTAAGACTCCGACTCCATCAAGTGTTTCAGAGCCACCCGTTCCGACGTCAGCGCCACCCGTTCCGACGTCAGCGCCACCTACACCTCCGCCAAAAGCAAGATCAGAAGACACACCTTCCCACAAGATTACGAAGAACAAGCATTCGAATGAACGTGGTGACGGAAGCAAGAAAGACGAGCATAATTTAAAAAGTGACAAACACCATGACAACTCAGCGTCGAAAGAGGATAATGCGACGAAGCACAAAAGAGAGCATGGTGAAAAGAAGAACGAACGAGATGAGGTGTCGCATAAGGGTAAGCATGGTGAGTACGAACAAAATGAGAGAGATGACCATCGCGAAGAAGAGGATGAAGACCGCAAACATGATGAAAAACATCGTCATGATAAGCATGTGGAGGAAGAGCACGAGAGCAAGAAGCATGAGCATAAGAGCAAGAAGCATAAGCATGAAGAGCATGAAAGCAAGAAGCATAAATATGGGCATGAAGAGCGCAAGAGTAAAGAGCATGAGCACAAAGTGCACAAGAGGAAGAAGCATGAGCATAAACATGACCAAATTTTGGACTTGACGGTAGTGAAGGACAAATATCCGTTTTCCAAAGGTGATGCAAGGATCCATACGATGGTTGAATATATGGCACGTGCCCTCGTTCAGTCTGAGAGCCCAGTAGCTGACAGTCAACTATTCTTCACGGCATTTGCACAGAATTGGTGTGAAAAGAGCACCCCGGAATATGCAGAGCTGTTGCGTACAATCGATCCTCATTCACCTGGAAAATGGCGTGTGAATGGTCCACTTATGAACTACAACAAGTTTGCCGAGACGTTTTCGTGTCCAGTGGGAACGCCTATGAATCCTGACAAGAAATGCATCGTTTGGTGAAAGTACAAATCGCACTCTTATTGAATATTGATTAGGATTGGACATAACTTTTTATAATAAAATTGATATTGAAATTTCGTGTTATGTCCAGTATTGATCGTCAAGCCACAAGAGCATCTTCTTGGACTTAAGTGTAGCTATAACATTATTTGTTTAGCAACTGTAGACACTGGAAACTATGGACACCAAACGGTTTCTCATGTGCGTATACCGAGGTGTACGCTATATTATCAAAAGATGGTGGTCTGTAACCACGTACATACGAATAGTACGATTCACAGGCTACAGAAGATAATATTGTGCTCCTTATTTGTGATGTATTTCGCAAATAATAAAAGTTTTTGCCGTAAAACATTTACGTAAGAATTTAATATTTGCCAGCGATTGAAGTTCTAATCTTTATGGCGTCCAGTTTCCTGCTAAATCGCGGCATTTCTCTTGCTGCAGTTCGTTCGCCTCGCTTTCTCCTGCGTAACCTACGAAAAGCTGAGTCACCATCGTGGCTACGATTATTACCACATCAAGCGCTCGTGACACATTCGAAATACTGCGCCGATGTTCATTCCTACCGTGCTCGCGATACCTGGATGCATCACAACGCGGCTTTGGTCCGTATATTCCCTAGAATATTATCTACGTCTTCCTCGAATGAGTCGCTTGTGCAGACACTGCGACGTCTGATTCGTTTAACGCTACACTTTGCCAAGCTGTTAGGTCTGGCGCTTCCACTGACTTTGACTGCTCCTATTGCATTCTCAGCAGGTACTGTGATGCCAAAACTTATTGAAAAATGGTGGGGGCTAGCATTCTGGCTGGCACAATTTTCGTCGCCAACTCTAATGAAATTCTTACAATGGGCAAGTACTCGTCGGGATATGTTTCCCATGTCTTTTTGCGACCGATTTGAAGCATTTCATGAACACGCGCCGATGCATTCGTGGAAGCAGACTGAAGATGCATTGAAAATGGCATTTGGTAAAGATTGGAGGGACACTTTGGAAATTGATAGTCAACCGATTGGATCTGGATGCATTGCACAAGTCTATCGAGGTCGCATACGAGAGACAAAGCAGGAAGTGGCGGTTAAGATTATTCATCCCAACGTAAAGGAAATGGTGGCACTGGATCTTCAGCTTTTGCATGCGTTTGTAGCAATAATAGAAGCTGTGCCACTACTCCAGTGGTTAGGAGGAAAGGATAGTGTCACAGAGTTTGCATCACTCATGGAGCGACAACTAAATTTACGAATTGAAGGTGAGAATTTAGCTTTGTTTAGCAAGCATTTTCGTCATCGCAAAGGAATTCGATTTCCTGTCCCATTGATGGACTTTACGACAGAAAATGTATTGGTTGAAAGTTATGAAGATGGTTTGCACTTTAATGAGATTCTGGCACAAATGAAGCCACCTCGCCGAAAAGCTGTGGCTCGAGTTGTGTTGGAAGCGTATTTGCGGATGGTTTTCTTAGATAATTTCGCCCATGGAGATTTACATCCAGGAAATCTTTTGTTTGATGAACAGGATGGTGGTAAAAACAATTTTGTCTCACGTTCTGAAGCCATTCGAAATGCAGGTGTTGTGATGATTGATGCGGGAATCGTAACAAAGCTGGAGCCACAAGATTTACGTAATTTTGTTGAGCTGTTTCATGCAGTTGCAACGGGAAACGGATATAAGGCCGGCGAGCTTATCGTGGCTAGGAGTAAAGAGAGAATTAGTCCATCTGGAGAGAAATTGGGAATCAAATGCACGGATCTCAATTCTTTCTGCACAGGAATGGAAAAAATTGTAAGCGAAGCCCTGCAGTGGCAACTGAGCTTGAAAAAAGTGCATGTCGGAACACTTCTTCGCCATGTAATGGAACTTTGCTGTACTCACCAAGTGAAATTGGAGGGAAAGTACGCATCAATTGTTGTCTCGATTGCGGTTTTGGAAGCGGTGGGTCGGAAACTTGATCCGGAAATTAATATTCTGGCTGTTGCTCTTCCAATCATTACGCAATCTCTTTTGAAAAACGTATTGAATTGATTTGCTTACGTAAATAGACTGTTATAGTCGGCCGTTAAGGTCTACAGTAGACTATTGGAGCGTTTATGAAGTTTACGAAGCTGCCAAGACTTTGAAGAGTGAGGCAAGTGATGTGTTAACGCCAACATCAATCAAGAAATTAAATTATAGAGAACACTCGATTACGAGCCCATACACATGAATTGACCAGATTATAAATTAAATATACGATAAAATCATTGGCCGCTGCTCGTCACAATGGCGTGACATTTTTCTTAGATTGAATGCGAATGTCCAATGTTCACGCTACATTTGAAATGCATGACAAAATTACATGTTATTAGACAGCAAGTATCAGGTTGTAGCCACCTATTGTTTTACTTATTGCTTGAGAAAAACATTCTCTTTAAGTGGAAGTTTGACCAGCTCTCTTTTTTAGTAGCATTTGTGTGGTTGTGTGTTGTACAAAGAAAATTTATGACGATGAGTTTGGACGCTGCACTGCAGTACTTCACCTCCACGCATGTGGACGAGACACAGATCGCTGCGCAATCGGAATCCGAAATCAAGCCAGTAGTGTTACTCTCCATTCCTTCGACGGCTGGATACACCCAAAAGCGTGAGCTTCAGAATCTCATTGTTCCGCTCGCCTTCCTTTTTCGCGGTCAAGAATCACTGTTTTGCGGACGTGATGACATCGTACGTCAATCAATTGCAACGAAAGATATTTGACTTTTTAATAAACCATTTACATTCGTGTAGTCGCTGGTAAAGTTATTTTCAAAGGAGGTGGAGACACCAAACGTTAAAGTCTTTAAAAATGGCGCTAAGGTTGCAACAGTCACAACGGATGGTGAATTAAAAGACCACATTAGTACGCTTGTTGAGCATATAGGATGGAGCCCAGATTGTCCAGACTTGACCCACTTGGACAATTATCTGGCTCCAATCGATAGTGATACGCTACTGAGTGACGTGACAGCTTTTACTGTCGCCACCGGCCAGCGCGACTATGTGGCAAACGCTGCCAATGTGTCGTCTATTATCTGGCATGCTTTTCTTCAAGCCAATCGTTCTATCAATTGGGTAGGCTTTTACTTTGTTCGACCGCTTACTAACCCTAAAGCCACAGATCATGACCATATTCTGCTTCTTGGTCCATTTATGGGCAAGCCTGCGTGCAGTCGAATTCGCTACCAAAATGGCGTTTGTGGTGCTTCGTGGAGAACGAAATCAGTCCAGCGTGTTGCTAATGTACACGAATATCCTGGCCATATTGCATGCGACGATGCATCCAAGTCAGAGCTTGTGACTCCTGTACTCAACAAGCAGGGTGAGGTCGTTGCACTCATTGATCTTGACTGTCCACGAAAAAATGGATTCTCTGTTGACGACGAACGCACCATTGTCCAAGTGGCAAGAATTATATCTGAAGCTTGTGACTGGGCAAACGTTGGCATGCCATATACGCAACCGTGAAAGACCTCATTTGTTGGTGGTAGTAAGATCGGTAGTTTTGGTGATTTAGGAATTTTGGTTTGGTATTGAGGATATCAGATAGTTTTGCCCATCTATAAACAAACTTGTTTAGCTGCAATAACACGTCCAGGTGTATTCGTACGGAACGGCAACAATACATGAATGGTATCATTTTATGATCTTATGGGCAGTCATGTTTGTATTAAATGAGAACCTGGGTAGTAATTGATAAACGCAATTGATGTATTTAAGGCGAAAATAAATCCTTTTTGAGAGAAAGAATTGTGGTTTTCCCGCTCGCCTACGTGCAAGTGGTGAATCGATCAATCAGATTACAAAAAAATTGTACGAACTCATGCAGCGGTGTTTAAGCCGATCTCTCAACTTGATCAGAACTAAACACATAGGATGAATGAGGCGTACAATTCGCAGATCAAATATTCATGATTACACCAAGTATTATAAAAGCTCGTATAATTTTACCGTTTCGAAATTACTAATGTGAGAACGCAAGACTCCAGTACTAGCTGTAACTTAAGCGGACGAAAGATCTCTGATATATCCTGCACGCTAAAAAATTGCAAAGACTCATGTTCGATCTTTTGGATTGATGCTGTAATATACCGTTGCGCCATTTGCTGCAACGCTTGTTTTTGTTCAAGCGTATGCTCATCACAAACAATTGCTAATCCTTCGGTAAGTGAACACGCACAACTAATTTGTGCTGCGAATTTCAATTTGTCGTTTTGGGCAGTCGTAGCTATATCATTCGTGTTGCTAGCTTGATTGTAAAAAGCGTTTCTTTTAAACAACGTTTTTCATCCCTGATACAAGCAAACTTAAGTGTATTCGACTTGTCTCCAAAAAATCTGGTAAGATGTTCGATGAGCTTGGTCTAGCAGTACGGAATATTGTGAGAGCCATAAGCCACAGTTCTTTGTTCCAAGAAGCTAAGGCTCTGGTTAATATATATTTGAGTCCTTGAAGACAAGACTTCCCGCGTACCCTTCAAGCTCTTCGGTTCTCCATCAACCGTGTTCTTGAGCCGCTCGCTACCTGCAAGATCTACCAATAGCAATTTATTCGATTTTTGAGCAATATGGAATATCCAATACTTTAGTTCGAACGTTTATTCAATCGATGTTCAGACACTGAAAGCTAATCTTCAACTTTTTGAAATAATTGTGCTCTGGCACGTGGAGCAATTCCTCAATTGCGTGTATCGCCAATCATAATAACAATCTTATCCGCTTAAATATGGTCATAACCCATCGACTACAGCATCATGTGTAATGTCGAGCGCAATCGCCTAATAGAACGCGATCCTGACATAATTCAGAACTTGATATGACTTGAATTTTTATTATCCCTCTCGGTTCGACAGTCCAGCATCCATTACTATAGGTGGAATGCCACCAGAGGCTGCTGCTAAGGCTGCTGTTCTCCTATTTTAACATTTATCGCATTCTTGTCCGAATCAATTTGCAGCTGCTGTGTCGCGGCCACGTGCAAATGATACCCAATTTCGAGCTAAAGAATGAAATCGCGTTCTATTCCTTACGAGGGATTATAAGAAGTCTGCCTGCGAGAGGTATGTTCAACCAATCGCTCAAACCATGAATAACACATTTAACGTAGAGCTATAGATGCAGTTTACATTACTCAAGGTCAACGTAAAGTGCCATTGGCAATACCATATCAGCGAAAGATGTCGCGCTGTTAAAATATGGCGTAAGACGGCGTGTGGTGGTAATCTTGAAGCTGATAGGTGAAGTGTGTTATGTGGGCAGCTGTCAGCCGTTATTTTAAGTTGTAAACTACTGCGGAAGTCAATCCAGAGTGTACGTGACTGAGTCCTGCGTAAAGTAACTAGCTTTTTTTGGTCATACTAAGCAATTTCGTTGCCTTACAGTGGCTGGCAAACTGCAAAACTCCTTGACTGTTGCTAAGCAACGCCCGTCCGCAAATCACCGATCAAAAGTTTGATTTATACTTTAACTGAACAAAGGTATCAACGTAATTCACGCCACCCGCGTACACGACTTTAGCCACTAGCTATTCTGATATAAGTGACGCCATTTCGACTGCAATTGCCGAAATCACCCCGTCAGTTTGTCGCCGACCAAGAACGCAGATTAGACCAGTGACATATTTCTTCATCTTGACCTTCTGACACAGCAAGCACCGTAATATTTTTGCTTATCAATCATTTTTTTGCTGTTTGTATTCCTGCGATTTTAATCAAATGTATCAATTTCGTGAAAGTGGGGGCAAACTTCCATCGAGTCTCGTACGAGAGATCTTATCGCATCACGACTTTCACTTGATCAAGTGTGACCTGCAGCATCGTCATCGAAACCTGTAGTCAAATGTACTCCACCACGATCTACAAACTTGATCAAGCAAGAAATACAAAATAGTCACCTCATTCTTAGCAAAAGTGCAGCTTCAAAAAACGAACACCTTGCCTTAACATATGCATTAAAAATGATGTGAATAGCAACCTCATCTCTAATTGATCTAGCAACACGATATGGTACTTCTGATTGGTGCTAGACATCACAAGCTGGTGGCCATTCAAATACTGCTGTGCCACACACATGCAGTATAAGGCCTCTACGCTAATGTAAGCTGAATTACTGTATCACATTGACAATCGATAAGGAAAAGCAAAAAACATGATTTAAATGAAACAATGCTCGATAATGAAAGTAAATTTTTTTATTTTGTATTGGTATTAACGGTAATCAGGAGACATAGAAATGTCATCGTGCATCTGCATAACGTCTTTCTGGGAGATGTCATGGTACATCTGCATAAGGTCTTTCTGGGAGATGCCATGTTCGGCACGAAAACCTTCGACGGCTTTGTACATGGAATATTTGGCGAAGTTAACATGTTGTTCGGGAGTAAGTGATTGAGCCTCTAACAAATCTTCACCATTAAAGAAATGAGCCTCGGGGCTGCCTGGAAGTTCGGCAACCGCATCAAAAACTTCACTCTTGCACGCGATAAACAAGTCTTTAAATTCTTTTTCAGGCAACTCTTTATAAGCACGCCAAACCGCTCCATGCAAAGACTGTTCACTTTCTTTAATGACTCCTTCTAGCAATTCTGCCAAAGTAGGAGCCCTCTCTTCACTTTCTTCATGGGAATAGTCGCGGTTGTCGACTTGTCCATTGTTGGAGTCGATGTCGGCAGTGACGGGAATAGCTGAAGAGCTAAAGTTGAAAGCTAAGTGGGGCGTCGTAGGACTTACTTGGGGGGTTGTTTTCGGCGATGCGTTAATGTTGTTGGCATAGGTGCCAGCGAGCTTGACAGCAGAGACAGTGTATATGAGCAGCAAAAGCATTCTTTCGTCTAGGAACGACGGTGGTTGGAATACGATGTGGAAAATCGCAAAATGATTGATGTTGTGTGAGTTTAGATTTTATCAATTTAATTCCTGTTGACCAATTGCTTCATGTCCACCCATTTTCTTCTGGTCCACTCATCATGCAAAATCGCTGGTATCTAAGATGATCCATTTCCACGGTATTATGCAACTATACTTACTGATTTATTGGATTCCAGCGTCGATCCGGCTTGTTGTCCGGATGTCTCTAGTATGGACTCATTCGATTAAAGTAATAATGTATTTTTTTACAATTCGGGCTTGCGAATTCATCAGAGATGTCTCAGTGTAAACTTAGCTCTTGACCATCCGACTTGCCAATCATTTCCGTTCGTTGAACGATCTCGGAAGTCTAGCTGGCTAAAAATTTGTCTGATAAGAATTCTATGTGGGTTCAGACTCACGCTCACGCTATGCCAAAATCTGATTTAAAACAAAAACTATGCTAATGTTCTAATTACAAATCCCAGTCAAAGATTGGATGCTGGTTCCATCCATTTTCCAGCTCGCTCTTTTGCCTGATATTGCTTGACTTCACCCCCTATTCAAGCTTCAAAAAGGGTGTGCTGCACCATGCTTGCATAAGCACGCATCTGTCACTATACTTCGGCTCACTTCATGTGTACACGAAAAACATACCTGAACACATTATGAGATCTGTAAGGACATTGGTCGATATGTCAAAAAACCATTTGCTGTATACGACCCCGTCACATGTGCCGTAAATTTCACCTCGTCAATATCTTGATTTTAAATAGTGAAGCAACGTCCTGAGTCCTGAACGCAAGGTAGTCTGTAACGAGCCATGTAAAGCTAGTTGTCGATGCGAGAAGTCGGGAGAAGAAATATGAAAACCCACAGTTTGCATCTTTGTTACGTATTGTGCTATTGCAAGCATAATGTTCTTAAATGAGAGAAAGTTGTGTAACGATCAGCCTCCACCAACACTACTCAGCGAACTAAATGAAGCCGTTTACGATTAGAACCGACGTGCTCGCCAAGGGTTAAAGTTGCACTCACGCATACAGTGTCTGGATCTTAGAGACGAACTTGCGACCACGCTACATTCAATAACGGTCCTAGCGATAAGAGCTTGGGTAATACTCCTAACACTTTGAAGGGTTTTCAAAGATAACCTTCAATTTGAGTCGAGTACTTTAGCCAACATGATCCCGCTCTTACTAGTTAGATATGAAGCGCTATATGGGAGACGGAGCACAGCCATTTTTTTAAGGTGAGCTACAGGCTACAGTCTCTATTATCTACGAGAGTGGGGTGGTTTTGATCAGCTGAGGTGCGTAGTTTGGTGGCTTTGCTTAGAGTGCGCATCCTGAAGCTGAATTATATAATTTCCGGTTCCACGCCATGACTTTATGATAACGTGCTGTCACGACGACAGAGTTCACGGTAGCCAGCGGAGAGACGTCATCCACCGGAGCAAGAAAATTCAGGTGTAGTGTTGAGTGGACCAATGCGCTCGCCAGGGCTGTTAGTGTCATTTTGGTAGATACTTTACCTCCGAAGATCCCCGGGTGTTCGAAGGGCCATTGCCGCATATGACCCGGCGCACCCTCAGTGTTCATTTCTCTAGAGGAAAAGTATTGTCGAATAAAGCATCACACTTTCCAACAACTAAAATGTTTAACCTTGTCCGATTTTGAGACTTGTTTGGTAGCCTTATTAGCTGTCTTAAAAAGACGCGCGAGACTGTCGACAGCCTAATTTGAAAATCATGATTCCCACCTCGACCTCTGCTTTTTATTCGCAGAATCAACTTATAAACGACGCTGTATTTGGACATACATTTCGCTCAAGATTCCAGACAAAAATATGAAGCGGATGAGTCAACACGTTAATCTTTCCAAGTGGGCATATTGAGTGTGGTATCATCGGCTCTCTCGCCAAACTTCGTTGCACATGGCAAAGCTTCATAGAGGATATGAGGTTCCCTTCGCTGCTGCTTTATGAAATGGCAGTACTTTTGAGAGTTTGTGACTTGTGGGGTCTGGAAAAGCTCGAATGGTGATTTTTATCACGTTAATTATACTTTAGGTGAGAGCAAACTTCATACTTGCAACAAAATTGCCGTGCATTTTACTCAGATGGAGCTTTAAATCTAGAAGTCCGCATTACAACATGAAATATTGTCCTCGTGTGCTCCTAACAAGAGGAAACCTCAGCGTCACTCATGGTGCCAGGTTTTAGTTTGCGCAGTTATTCAAACGGCAAGATTTGCTAGGATCGATTCTGTTTCGACCAATTCTGTATGTCTGTGTTTGATCATCTCGTTATTAGGCTCTCGCTTGCGACAAGCCGACCATTAATACCACGGAACACACTTTTTATGTTCATCATAATTTCGAAATTGATGAAGTCAAGCGCAATCTAAATTTCCTTAATCTGTCCCGTGATATGTTTATTACAATTGAAACAAATGCATGAGAATAATTTTGCCCTGTCAAATCCACCTTCGACAAAATGTGGTCCTCATAGCGGTTTACATTGTTTTGACATTTAAACACTGCGCAAAACTGAACGCACCCCGATTAATCACTGTTTCTGAAGTCTCGCTTCACTCACATCACTTAATCACACCTGATCTTACGAAATTTCTTGCACCGAAATTATGTTTCTGTTGACAAACATAACTGACACAGCAGTTGTCCACTAGAATCAATGTCTTCGTGAAATGACGCGCTTGATCGAACCCTCGGTGATATGGTAAGTGTTTTCTGACAAAAACGTGTGCCCGCCTCAACAATGTTCGGGTCAATTGGCGTTATAGATGGCTTTGCATTATC